CTTGTTGGGGATTTAGATCCCCAGAACTCACTTGATAAAAGTCCAAATTTTGGATTATGTGTTTTCCTGCAGTGGCTGATCAGTTGACACTGAGATTAAGTTCCTCACCTGCAAAATCTTTGACTGCTACATTTTGATGTATCATTTTAGTATGCTATTCTTTTGCTTCTCCGAAAGACGTTTCTACAATGTATGAATAAGATCAAATTGCGTGCTTGTCAAACTCATATTTTCTGGGTGCTTGTAGAACACGCTTCATCCACCTTATCAAGCATTTGTATATAGTTAGCAGGGCCGCAAAAAATTGAATCTAAATAGCCTATCGTTTCACTGCATCATTTGTGTTCGCTTTCGCTTACCGAGTAGGCTGAACTCATAATAAATACAAGCATTTCAATTGACGAGCATATCGATTTGGCCAGGGTGATTTTAGAAACCAGTATCTTTCCAAACAATATCAATAACAATATATATTTATTCTCAAATAACTACGTTAAGAGAGTCACTCCAATTTACAGGCTAGATCAAATTGTCACAAATGCTTTCACAATTACTGTAAAGTTATAGCAGTTAAATTAAGTATAAGAGTCAGTTTCTGATTGCATATTTACACCATGTCACTGACAGAAACAGTATAATACAGCCACATTTTCAATAGTATAGTACAAATAAGGAAGGAAGGTGCACAATTGATTCTTTTTGTCGATTTGCCGAGATCAATAGTGAATTTTTTGGGAAAGGTCATAAAGAACGCGCTTGATACGAGATGTGATCTAGACAGTCATGTACGTAGGGTGCATGTTCCCTAGAGTCGCCAAGGATTTCCCACCGTGAATAGGGTTCAGAAAAGGAGAAAAGAGAGGGAGAGCACCATCAGTCGACGGCATCACGAAAAGGGATTCTCAGTTTTATTATGATCCAGCACATTTAGGAAACATAGATGAAGGAAGTGTGAGGTAGATGGTGATCAGGCTTGCCTATCGTGATGACCCACCTTATGCTTCACAAGGTTCTACCATGCCATGCAGGTCCATTGGAGATCGATGAGACTAAAAGCAGCTACTCAAGTTCTGACAGCGATTAGTACTGCCGACTGCTGACAGGTGTGACAGCGGTAAGTAGTTTTCCTCGGACGACCAGCATCTGCATCGATGCTGCCCTCTCACAATGAAGGAAGGGTTAGTAAGGTTCGACCGTAAAAAAGTCGAACAACACTCTACCACACATACTCCTGTCTCCGGCGGTAGGGTTGCCTGTCCACTAAGTGCTATCAAGAGCGGAGACGATATTCAAAAAACCCTTCATAAAAAAGACGTGCGCGACCGGCGTTAGGCAGTTGTCAATTGGGCTCTGCGGCCACGCTCTCAGAGCATTAAGACCATCGCTAATCTATCTTCTTTTCGCAGATTCCTCAAGAAACAACTTGCCACGGTTTGAGCAACTGGGATGTGACAACCGCCTTCAAACCCATAAAAGAACACTAGACCAAACTGGTCACAATCAAATCCTTCCTATACCTTCTATTATATCTGTTTTCTCCACAATTAACTCTACTCACATTCCCTTATCACCGCTAATGCAAACGAAGCGAGTTCACGAAACGTCGTTCCTGGATTCCTTAAAACCCGTTCTAAACTACACGTTGGAGCATTTAATGTAGGGAAATTATTACAAATACGGGAACAGGCTTTATTAGCTAGGACTTTGGAATCTCGCTCAATCGATGTATGCTGCGTCTCGAGAACGCGCATACAGGATACTAGTAAAATCATTAATCTGATTTCCCATTATCAAAATAAAGAAGCATCAAGATTTACTGTTCGAGTAACCAGTAGCCTCGATTCTGCTTGCCGGGGTCCCACTGGTGTAGGTAAAGCAATGAGTCGTAGGGCAGAACTATCTCTCCTACACTGGATCTCTGTAAATGGTCGCTTGAGCGCCGTCCGACTGAACGGAACAGTAAGGATTCGGAAGAATAGGGACACTCGTCGTTGCCTATTCGTCACATCAGCCTACGCCTCCACTGACTGCAGTTCAGACGATGTAAAAGATGAGTTTCACAGAAAGCGTTCGGACCTTCTCCAAAAAGCTAGGCGCTCTGATAAAGTTATAATGGCTGGTGACTTCAATGCTCAAGTAGGTAGACTAAGTAAAAATGAAAGACACTTTGGTAGATCCTATGGTGTCGCGGCTGAAATAACAGACAATGGAGACCTTCTGTTGCAAGTATGCTCAGATATCCGCCTATTTCTAGGAAGACAATAATTTCAAGTATTATAAAAACATCTTCAGACTTAGTGACCCCCTGAAGTCGTCTCAATGTTGGATAGGGGTTCGATAGTGGAGTGTCGCTCGTTCTGGGGCACATGTTTAAATTCAGATCATGCTTTAGTGCGGGCGCGTATTTGTTTGCGCCTTACTGGACGCCGTAAAAATATCGCAAGATAACCTCTTAGGGCTTTGCTTAATGATAATGAAGCTAAGAAAATATTTCAGGAAGAACTAGAAAAACAGTTAGGCGACCATGCAAGTGATTCCCTACTGGAGGCAGGTTGGAATGATCTCAAGAAGGCTGTGGAAACAGCAGTGATATCTGCTAGCAAGCTAAACCATAAACCTCGGATGAAGCCGTGGATTTCAGTTGCATCCACCGAACTGATGGATGCTCGAAAACGCAATCCCCTGACTCTGAACATGACGAAGAGCGAAGTCAGCTTAGATTGAGAAATACGTAAAGTTGCTTGAAGTTAAACAACAGAGGTACCATATACACTGAAGATAAAGAAGGAGATATGCTTCTAGCGGTTAAGGACCATCATGTTTGCTACACGATCTGACAAGCCACTTCAGTGGTTGGTATCCATAACCTGAAGAGGGTGTTCGTAGAAATCGCACCAGACATAGGAGGAAATCGGGAAAACAGAAGCAAACGAAAATTGATAAAGCATAATTTTAGTTTAGGACCGTCAAAGTTATTCAGCCCGGAAATATTAGAATTTCGACTGATCAACTAACCGTATTGAAAAACAATGACGTGTGACTTACGCCCAACGCCCTGCTCACTCAACAGGCCGTGATAACTCGATGATTGATTGCACAATCGCAAAACTTTATTCGAAATGGTATAGTCAAAGTTCGTTGATGATACCTTCTTGCATCGTCAGATTCAGAAATACACTGAAGAAAAAGGAGCGGGATATAGCTGCAGCGGTTAACGACCATATTACCTCCGGCTTGCACTGAGTAAGCAATGGACCAAACTTTCGCCTACTCTAAGAAATCACACTATTAAAGGTGGCAGCCTATGATTATGGATGTGAAAGCGTACTGCTAGAAGTCCAGTCATTTCCATTTCCATACACAAATTAGGTAGAATAGACGCAACTGAATATTTTCAGTGTAATAAGAAGTTTACTCAGGAAATGTCCATCCGCACTGTGTTGTACAAGACAGTATTTTTATCAATGCTATTTTATCACGTTTTGTTTTTGTCATTTACTCAGGATCCATACAACAATTTTTCCTGGTTCTCAGTCACAAATATTTCACTTCAAGTAATGTCGACCGATTTTCTTCAGATTTCCTGTTGTTGTTACTAAGCTTTCGAGTGTAGGGCCATGCTTCAATAAACTGAAGATCACCTAATGTTTGCAGTGATAATTATTGACGTTTGACCTCTGATTGGAATCGAATGTTTGGTAACTTGTAGAAAGATATTTCATCCAACCTTGTTGAAAATAAAGTTAATGATTTTCAGATACCGACAACATTTTAATACCCATTTCTATATCATCCACTATGTTGAGCTAAGGAAACTCTCGAATGTGCAGCATAGGCAATACCATTCACTGTTTCACTTCATCACTGAAATTAGAACTTATTCAACTGAGCACACAGATTATTGTTTCATATAAGTTATTACTGTCAGTCGATAACACTTCCGTTCCTCTACATTCATTTACTTTTATCAGTAAATTCTTTTTTTCCGTTAGCTCTACATTGAGTGAAAATGTTGCAAATTCGATTGTTACAAAATAAGATCAGCAAACATGCGAAGTACATCATGTGATGATCTCATTAAAAGATGCTTACTGAATTTCATCCATATTCTAATCCTTATTTTTTCATAGAAATTTCTAGTCCACAAATCCACGATGATATCATCGTATGTTCATTAAAAATTTCTACATTTTTCGAATACATATTTTGTTCAGCTGTTCAGCTTTAGTTATTAAAACGCACAAATAAATGTACTTTGATCCGTTTCATATGAGTGTGCGTTTTTTTAATTTTTTCAGGCTCCTTTGGATCAAAGTGCTCATTTTAACAATAGTATGAAGTACACGATTTGTAGCTAATCGAGATCCAGATAAATATAACGTTCCAAATTTAAGTATCTCGATTTATTTGTCATTTTACTTTGCTCTCATTGAATTGCACATGTTGTTGTAATATAAATAAGGTTTTTTGAGAAGGCAAGTTATGATGAACAGTGATTATATCGGAAGCAGTAGGTGAGTATGTTAAGATATAGGTTTGCCAGTTATATCTCATATCATATAAAAATATATCTCAGTTTCAGTAAAATTCTGAACTAAACGTAACATACAAATAAAGACGTTAGGTCGAGTAAATCACCAGTTGCAGACAAGATAGAAATATTACGACAATTTTGAGTTGTGTTTCGATGTCATGATTACTGCTGATATTATTATCATTATTATAGTGATTATTATTACACTCAAAATGTATGTGATAGGTGGAAACACTAACTCCACATATTGACAATCGTTGCTTCATGTCAACTGTGTTAACCTCTGAACATGTCAGTTTGATTAAGCATCTCCGCATCTCACTAACGCTCCATGATATAATCTTTCTAACAGTCAGAGACCTGACAGTAAACACGTTTATATTTCCTGACTTTTAAAGTTACGTTTCCGTTTTGAGTATTAACGAAAAAAATTTAAACAAATGTGTAACGCCATTGTTTATGATAGGCAAATCATGACATCAACGTCTCGTGTTGTTCCAAGTATTCCATGGACGGAGATTTTTAAATATGAAGTGAATAAATTGACGAAAGCTGATCATCTGATGATTGTATCAGAATATATAAAAAAAGTACGTTCAGATTTTCGAATAATGATTGATTTTATTGACAGACTTTAATATGTGTTGCAATACAAGTATGCATCACACTTTGCGTTGTAATCAGCGAATCTATAATGTAAGTTGACCGGTGAACAATAATATTCTTCTTTCAGTATGAAGTATACAAAACGTAAGAATGAAGATTATATTCCGCAGGTAACTGTTGCTGTTATATGTGTGTAAGCTCATCAAATTTATTTTCGAATTACATTCATGCTGTTTATTAAAGCAAATGAAAATGAAATTATTTTATTAAAAGTTAATTCAACAATCAAAACTCAATGAAAAAAGACTTGTGTCTGATTTGTACTGCGGTACTTCATGCGTTATAAATTACAAGTCCAATGAAGATTTCACCTTTATTATAAACATTCATTTCGTATCAGGTTCAAGAGGTCATTTTACATTTGGATAAACAACTAATCCCGATGACTTCGAAATGTATATGCTTTCGCAGTTGACGTTGATGATATCCTTATATTTGCTCTGATTTCAAATGAAGCCACTAAATAATGTCAAAAAAATATTTCGCTATTTGAAACAATTCAAAGTTCAACCATTATTGGTTCCCATTCAAATCAGCTAAATTTCACTAGGTTTTATCGTGATTCAGACGTACAAATTGAGATTTTGTTGATATGAATGAATAGTCTACACTACATATAAAAAGCATAATCATTCTCCGTTCTTATGTTCTTCATTGATTTGTAAAACCGAAGACTGAATTGCTTTAGAAATGGTTTTGTGATTGACAAGAAGATCATTTACTTCCTTCGAATGCATGAGTAAATAGGTATGCCCGTACATCAACACAGTCACATTCTCAGATTATTGCTTATTAGCATATTCAAATATTTTCGCATTGGCGTAACCACCATACACACCCCAAGCCTTTTTAATTCTGCTCTAATTTGTAGTTTCATCGCAATACTGATAGTACTACTTATCGCAGGCGTGAACAAGATCGGTGAAAGTTATCCTCTGAACGTTGTCTTGGCGATCTTATATGTAAGTACCATCATCAAACCACAATTCATAGAAAACAAACAAACCCACTGTTACTTACCCAGCTTCACTAACTCGATCTCATTACGCAGAAAGTGAAATCTTGTTCACTATCTGTTCGACAGTAAATATAACAGCTGTGGAATAGAATGTTTTGATGGATATCTTGATTTGTTAAGTTAAATGAAGTTTGGAAACCACTATCATAACAGATTAGGCATGAACAGTTTGAAGCAAAATCAAGGCTGTGAAAGCTGGAATTCCACTGATTCACAGATTCATTTTAGAACTGCTTATTGAATTTATTTTGACTACTCACTTTGATTGTTATTGTTTTATTTTAAATCATCTGCTTTGAATTTACACTTAAAAGGGCTTGTATCTCCAGTCATTCTTTAAGAAGAGACTTGCACACTGAATTTCACACTTTTGATTTTGAAATTAAAACGTATGTGTTTCACTGAAGAAATACATAAGTTAACGCTGAAAGGTGCTTGAGCGAATACCATTTGCTGAGGCTTCAAAGCAAGACGAGCAACTTAACAGTTTTAGCAAGCAGAGCGCTTTTCAAATATCAGAACAACCTGCTTCAAGCCTGAGGTAGTCTTTTCAGTTTAACGAACAGTCAGTTATCTTCCTGTAGTTGATTTAAAATATTCCCACATGAATGCTGTAACACAGAATACATCACCTGTCAGTGGACTAATGCATTTCAAACTATATTACTCATTCTTTTGTTCAGTCTATTTTCATGTCTACAGCACTTGGAGTATCAAGTACAAAGTTGTGTATTCTTCTTACTTTTGGCGTCTTCGGAATAAGCTTGACGATCTTCACATGTGCATTGCTGATTGGAGCGGCAATCAAGACTAGTTTATTGGATCGTTCAACAGCTATTTTAATATCAGTTGCTCTTATATTGATTGTAATTGTTGCAGTTGCTATTTCACTCAGTGTTTTGGAATACAACGTATAAAAAATCATTTGATTTGCTTGAATAATCGATCATGTTGTTGATCATTTGAAATTATTTATGTTTGTTACAGGACTAAAAGAATTGTTTCAGGTATGAGTTGTCTGTATCATTAAATCCTCATTGATGTCCAGCATTCAACAACTGCAAACAACAGAGTACCCAATGCTTCTTATTGAAATTCAGAAAGATTGAGTCAGCTGAACATTCAGGGAGCGATTACATCTAAATTTATGATGGTATTTATGGCTTTTCATGCAAAACATCATTAAAGTTGGTCTACAGTATGAGGTTGAATGCCTGACATTCATATTGGCGAGGCAATCAAGTTATGAACATGAAAATATCTTTGTCAACAAACAAAATCGCACAATTACTGCAGTCATTTATTTATTTATCCTTCATTTACCTCATTCTATCTCTTTAATGATAAGAAATTTATTACAGAATAATGTATAAATGTTATTTCGACCAACCTCTGACTCTGGACCACACTAGCACGATCCACAATTAAACACGGGATTTGGTCGGAATTTAAAGTGGTCCTCTGTACCTGGTGTTCATGATAAATGTTACAGTGTGCCCTGAGCAAACCACATATGGAAACGACACACTTCAGTTAGCTCGTAGTGGTTTCTATCATTTTACAGAAAAACACATCGGTTGGACAACACTTGACCGGTTCGCATATTCTAATCAGCTTCACGCATAACAACATTTGTATTCACATTGTTTTGTGCAGTCATTTTTGAGTGTTGTTCAAACATTATACTTTGTTCATTTCAAGTAGACAAATTCACTAAATAATGTTTTTTCAGTTTTCAGATTGCAGTGATTGGCGTTGAAATTGGTGCAGAAATATATTTATTCTTTGTAAGTTAAACACATCTCAATTTTACTTTTCCATAGACAGTTTCGTCTTTCATTTTGCCAAGAACACAAACAGAGAAACGTTGAGCAGAATGACATGAACTCAAACTGTTTCGTTCGCCTCTAACTAACTGCTTAACACTGCATTATTCTGGATTTACCAAAGGGACAATATGTCAATACTCAATAAAGCAACGTGATGAGTGATCGAACATCCTTTTTTTCAAACCCTGTGTATTTACTCATTTACACAATAATTAGTGTCTAGTAAAAATAAGTTGTTTGTTCAATGTCATTCTTCAATGTCATTACTTGACTGAAGTCTTCGATCAATAAAAATTATATGTAATTGCTGCCACTTTTGCATACTTCAAAACAACAACTTATGGATCATTAGGGGAATTATGAAAACCATTTACTGTGTGATTGAAACTCATGTCTGTATTCAAAGATAGTAGATTTCAGCGTACTGTTGAGAGTAAACTCATTCGCAAAATAATGCAGAACTGGTCATCGTCGTACATCTTTTCAATATTAAGCAACCTATCATAAGTACGTTGCACCATCTAATATTTAAAACACTGTAAATCCATCTCCTTTTGTATGAATATGGATCAGAAGACTTTGAAAACAGTAAAACCTTGATTAACTCCAAGCATGAA